CACCACATTACCAAAAGAAACAGGAACAGTAACATTATCCAAAAAAAAACCAAGGCATATAGCACCATATTCTCGTAATTTAAGTTGGCATTTTACTAAGTATTAAAGTATAAATAATTAAATTTGCTTGGAACTAACTACATGTCAATCTGAATAGATGTTGTAAAGGTTTATATTTATCTAAAGCCCTGAGGAACTGTCATGAGAAACGTGAGTCCCGTTACACTCTGAGCAGGTTTCAAATTCTTGGTGCAGAACTTCCTCTCTGACCAGCAGCCCGGTTCAAACTGCTGCAGTGAATGTGGTTGATGTACAACCACTGCAGGAGAACTTACAAACTGCTACTAAGAGGCTAAACATTTACAGCAGTGCAAGGATGACAACAAAACAGCTCTATCTGAATAGTGGTCAGAAGATGATATCCATGTCTTTTTGGACCCTATATAGTGTCCCATAAGTTACTCTTGCCATTTGATTTATTCTGACATTCTACTGAGGGCACCAAAGGCCTTGGCAGCTATTCCTGAAACATCAATTTAAGGAACTGGCAAACAGCCTACACAGAATGATGTGTACAGACGACTAAGTTGGTAAAAATCCATCTTAAAGAAAAAAGTTTTACAGCTAACATCGGCACATTACAGCACTGGACAGTACATTGAAATAATCACTAAGAGCTTCATTCTCTTAAGTAAACAACAAATGGAGAGAATGAAATAAAATATTTTCAGGATCTGTCTCACCATAACATGTTGCTCACACTGTATACAGCACAATTTGACCAATGTCTAGTTTAAATCTCTGGTAACTGATGATGGCTAAGGAGACCAGTATTGACTAATCTAATTATTCACCTAAGGACCTATATGTTAGTAACCCCGGGGTAAGACAAAGTTATAAACTTTTCCATCCTTTCCTTTTAATCCAGAATTTCGTGTTGCAAATACTAACTCTGTTTAGAGTCAGGTTACTTGGAACAAGTTCCCTGTTTTTTATACTCACCTTTACTGCTGTCTTCTAAAGGCCCCAGAATAAAGGGGAGGCAACAATGAAGGATTAGCAGAACTGAGGATTATCCTCAAGCACTGAACATATTCCTAAATTCTAGCAAAGGCATAACTTGGAGCTTTAAATCCCAGTTCCTCAGCAGAACAATGACTGGTAGCATGACACATCACTGTGATGCTCTCAACTAGAACAAAAGTACAGGGACCTTTTCAGCTTCACATACAGCATCTCCTGGCCAAACATGCAACAAGGGGATGAGCTTTAGAACAGAACAGACAAAAAACTATATATGTGTATACACATGTACATACACATATATATACACATATATATATCTCCACATACCTACACACACATAGATTTAGATTGAAAACTGCAACTCACTGCCTTAAGATACTGATGAAATGAAAAATAAGTATATTATTTCTGAATAAAAATCCTTGCTTTGCCTTATGCTAATGAAATATTTCTTAACTTTAGCGTAGTTTCTTGTAATTTACTAAAAATACACAAAATAGTGAAACAAACCATACAGTGTTCAAGTTATCAGAGAACTTTTTTTCAGATGGGTAAAAATTATGACATTAATTATAGCAACAGTCAAAGCTTCTAAGGAAATGCCAAACTTCAGTTGGCAATGTTTCTTAAACACAAGAAAGTCATTACTTAAAAACAAATTACAAAAAATCAAGAAAAATTTGACAGTTATTGGAACTGACAGCAGAGAGCAACTCAAGCACTGAGAGCACCACTATTTCTTGCCAGCAAGCCTTATTTCTTGCCAGTGAGCATTTCACTGCTAGAAGGATGTGCAAGGGGCTCAGGTATGTTCTGTCACATCATGAGATGGATTAGAATCATTGAATCCTTAAGGTTGAAAGGGACCTTTAGAGAAGGTCTAATTCTCTTTGGAGAATTATTATTTCTCAGATTACAGAGGTACTTCGCATTGATTTTAATCATACAAAGTTCAGCTCTAAGATGAAGATCACTGCAAGAAACTGAACTCCCTTAAAATGTAGGTGCTTCTTTCCCTTGCCTTCGGCCCTCCCATCACTTTCATTTAATTTAGTTCCCTTTGCCTAGAAAGACTGGTAGAACCACCCAGCAATGTGTCACTATTTCCTAAAACAACAACAAAAAACACCTACATTTTTTTCAGGATAGACCTGTGACTGGAATAGGCTGTCTTACATGCAAATTTCTTTCCTAATTATATGCCATATCTTTTTTCTTTCTATACTGGGAAAAACAAGATTGCAATATACTAGTAGTCTTAAAATGTCTCCCATGTAACATACGCTTTCACACCAGGTTTACAGCAGTGTTATTGGTCCAGTTATATACCCAGCCTTAATAAATGTTTTTTCTTACTTTTTTTCTGTCTCAAGATATATTCAGAACATCTTCAATAAAAGAACTCTATGCAGAGAAGGAACAGCAACAGAAGTCAAACAATAACATAACTCTTAATTTCTATAGAGGCCATTTCCCTGGCCACACCTCACCAATCAAATAATTGCCCTACACAAATATACCTCCACCCTGTGTGATAGCTGTCAAAAATTCTGCAAAAGCTTTTTACTTTTTATTTAAATAAAGGTGGAATGGACACTAGACACTCTGGTAAAAAGCTCGGGTTTCCTCTTCCCTCCCTCCCCCCTCTTTTTTTTTCCTTAAATGGCACTGCACTTATGTCACAAGTGAAGAAAAGCAAAAACATTGTCATTCTTCCTCCAAAAGCTAAGCAAGAAACACAGAAGTCAAGGTCTGAAAATAAACTGTATTACTTCTGGATTATTCTACTAAGTGACATGATGGCAATGAGCTCTCTGAAGCTGATTACCCAAGAGAAACCTTTTAGTAGTTTAAGTGAATATGTTCATTTGACCAAAACTTTGTCCTCTGATGACACATCTGAACTAGTTCTTCCTGCCTATGAAGGAGATTTGATTTGAACGCTGGTTGGCATACATGATATGCAGAAATTAGACACCTGAACAAAATACACTCATAGAACTCAGTAACCATTATATTACACAGTTACGTCTACTGAAATACACCACAAGATCTAAGTCTCAATTTATTTTATTTTGTAAGTTTATTTCACTTTTAGGTCATTTAAAAGCAGGACTTTTACACTGAGAAAACTGAAGGGTAGTTTCCAGGTCCAAATATTTTCTGGCTTAGAGCCCAGAGCCTTTGTTGCTCTCAGATGAAATAGTGCCAGATGAAGGAAAATAGAAATGGAGTGCAAGAAGAGACCTTTACCAACAGCTACTGCTAGCTTCCGTTGGAAGTGACCTCAAAAGTTGCAGCATGCTTTATCTCTTCACCTCCTATTCTTAGGCCTAGAAGCAGGATTATGTACAAACAGGAGAAAATGCTAACATTATATTTTCATATATCTCATCACCAGCCTGCTGCCATGAGCAAACTTGGAGCAGAGGAACAACAGCTACAAGATTCCAACTGTATGTATTTTTTCTTGCAGATGGAGGACACAAATCTTGGTATGGAACTTGTTTTCTCTGTTGAAAGCTATTCTTTTGCAACTGCTTTCATCCTCTATATTAAACATAAGCCTACCTATGCCTAAGGCAGAGATAGAGAGGCACAACTTTAGCATTTTGCTTACCATCTTCTGAATTTCACAGAATTTCACCACCTTTCTGAATTGCTGTGTAATAATTAATTTCTAATTAGTATTAGCATAGATTTAAGCACCCACAACTCTTTCACAACTGTGGGCTGAAAGAGATTATTTAAAAAGAGTTGTCAAAGTCTGGTTTTAAAAGTTAAATCTTGGTCTTCCTGGAGAAGACCATAAATGAGCTAAACAGTAGTAGCTCCCTGATTTATGCACAGTAGAAGCTTTTTCAGAGTATCTGTAAAATATATCATATTTCTATTGTAAAATAATATCGTACCATATCAAAGGAACTAAGCTTAACTGTTTTAACAGTAACCTAGTCTCACCTTCTAAACCAGAGAATGAATAGGAAAACCTTCCAGTTAATATTAAGAGTTAAAACAAATTAGCCTCATTCAATTTCTTTTCATTTCTCAAATCCAATCCTTCTTCAGGAAATGCTCTTCAGGAGTGAAAGTAAGAACTGCTTTGATGTGACACAAACCAGCAACCTCAAATTCTTTGCCCTCCACAAAGGAAGACTAAGAACTACATTGGTTTTATTTTTGTTATTGCTGTTATACAGATGTTTTTATCATGGCAGTTTTTATGGAAGTTTTTTTTTTGACATAAAGAATGTCATATCTGACATAAAGAATTTAAAATTCTTAGATTTTGTAAATTGTCCAGAGGCGAAGCTAGACCACTGGAGAAATTAAATACAATAGTAATAAATGTCCAAAAAAATTACAGTCTCAGTGAAGGTGACTTCTAGGTACATGTGCAGGACCACTGGAGAATGCAGTTCATAAATGATTATGAACTGTGATATCTAAACCTTATGTACATTTCCATTATTCATATATATATATATATAAAAAAAACACACCTGCAAGCTAGACACAAGTTACACAGTGTACCCAGATGTATTCAGCCAGCTCAGTTATTTTATCCCGCACGTAAGCGTGACACAGGTAACACTGGTTTCCTTATCACTCAGCTTTTAAAATTAGAAGGTCAAAGTGAAAATCTTCTGCAGAAGGAATAATTCTTTTCTGCAGCAACTACAAACTTCACATTTGTATCCATGACAAAAAAAAAAAAAAAAAAAAAAAAAAAAAAAAGCTTTTATTCTTTCTTTCCCAAGCAGTTAGTTTGACATTGGTATTTTCCTTTATTTTGTTTCTTTGTAGATTTCAGTTCAGCCTATTAAAAATTAAACCAGTATTAAAAGTTTATATTAATTCTTGACATTTGTACCCTTGCTATGCACTTTTGGTCCACAACTGACTATACAAAATTATTGCTTTACAGGTATGAAGCTTAAACAAACTTCCAGGTAACCAAACCTCGGACTTACCTGCATCATAGTGACTACATGACAGGGATTCAGCAGGTAAATGACAGTCTTGGTAGCAAACTTGAAGCCCACCTCCAGCCCAAAGATGAGGCAGAGAGCCACCAGCAGCAGATTCTTGCCCAAGCTCTCCTGCTTAGCCTGGGGCTGCTGTAGCAGATGACCCTCCAGCTCCCTGGAATGCAGCTGCCTCAGCTTCCACAAGGACAGGAAGATCTCCACGAAACCCACGCTGAGGAAGACCAAGCTCTCCAACAGCCGCTGCTGCCCAGAGAGGAAGGCAGCACATTCTGGCCCTCCGTTGCCAGCAAAGCTGGGGTCCACACCACCGTACAGCCAGTCCAGGAGGTTGTGGAGGCTGTAGCGGGACATGGCAGGATGGTGCCTCTTCTCCCTGTCACTGTCCGGAAACAGGTAGGTGCAAGATGGTTTCAAAGCCAAGATGCTGTCGGGCTGACGAAACATGAAATGCAAGGGCGTCCCCTCGGTAAACTCCTTCCCTCCAGAGCTTCAACCAGCAACTCGGCTCAGAACAAGGCTGACCGAGGAGGCTTCCTCCGGATGCCAGGGCGGTAACTGCAAACAGCAGCCTGCAAGGGGAGGGCGCCTTCACATGAATGAACGCGGGCACCAAGCAGCGGGGCCAGCCCCGCGCTGAACTCTCACCCTCCCCGCCCGTGCACGCCCCGCGCTCCCGCTCTGCCCTTCCCGCTACCGCGCGCCCCGCCCGCCTCTCTCCCCTCGGCGGCCCCAGCGCGGCCCCCGGGCCCTCCGCCCCGCTCCTCCCGCCCCCTAACGGCCGCGGGGCGCCCGCTCATTGGCGCCCAACGGCCGATCATTGGACGCCGCACAGCCCCTCGCGCAACGGTCGTTGCCCGCGCGCCTCAACGGCCGCTCGCGCAACGGTCGCTGCCCGCTCGGCGCCCACAGGGCAGCGTCCCGGTACCTCAGGCATTGCGAGCGGATCTGGGCTCCGTTACGGAGCGCGGCTGCAAGGCAGGCCAGGCGCCCCCAGCCATGGGGCCGGCCCGGGCGGCAGCGAGGGCCAGGAGGAAGCGGCGTTCGCCTCAGCGGCGGCGCGCGCGAGCAGGCGGGCTGCGCGCTGCCGCGGCCCTCCCAGCCGCTTCCCGGAGCTGTAGCATCACCCCACTGACGTGCCCGACTCGCACCGAAAAATGGACGAGCCCCCTGGATTGGCTGCGCCCGCCTGCCCGCTCCTCCCTCCGCTCCGGCTGCGCCCGCCTCTCGCGGCTGCCTCATCCACCCGCTTCCTTCCCGCTCATCCGCCGCTCGCTCTTCCTCTTCGTCCTCCGCGGGGTGCACCTTGCCTTCGTTTCGCTCGTTTTCCTCCTCTGCTTTTTGCCGCCTGTTGCCCCCGCTTTGCCTCAGATGTCTCCCTTTCCTTCTCCTCCTCTTCCTCCTCCTCCTCCTCCCTCGAAACCAGCCTCCATGAGGCACCCGGGGGTTGTGCTGGCGTCCTCACTCGACCCAGCTCTCCTCCGTACAATAAGCATAGAGGAAGTAAAAGAGCCCAAAATAGTGCTTTCTGTGCTGCTAGGGCTATGGCAGTGCACCGCCAGCCCCTGTGAAGCTGGGTGCTCATAATCACAGCACTGTTTGATGAAGCGATTCAACAAGCTGTATTAACTTGATAAACTAGTTTTGCAAGTGCTGTTGCAGCAAGTTTAAGTCAAGCAATTGCAGTAGCCTGCTCCTTTCCAGCTTACCTTGGAAGGCCAGACTTCAGAGGGGCCGCAGCTTAGTCCCTGTCTGCATGCATGGTAAGTACATGCAGTCAGTTGTATGTGGAAATTGTGGTCACATGCAGTATGACCGGAGAGACAGCACTTACATGAATGCTTGAATGATTTACATACCTGCAAAGCTGAGTCTTCGGAAACAGAGGCCAGACTTGGTTCATACAGTCAACTGGTTTATGGTTTGGTGAAGTAAATGTACCGCAAATAGGCAATTCTGCGTCAATCTGAAGGTCAAAGACAGATGAAGCTCTAGGTAGGACAGTGGATTAGAGGCATACCATCAAGGTGTTTAGGACTGTGAATACACCCTGACAGCTGTGTCACTTTATAGAGTTTATTCCAGAGAGCCTGCCCTTGCCTGGATGTAACTAGTTATTTTTCAATACGGCAGTTGCCTTATTTTTCACTAAGGCAGTAATATAATGCATGTTGCACTGGGAACAGTTTGTATGGCATCACAGCATGTGTGTGACAATTGCTGTAGTGTAACAGCAAATCTAGAGTGCTCAGCTTATCAGAAGTGCATACATTTTATTTTGGGAACTTCCATTATCACAAGTCGGGGAATCAGACTTCCTTACATAGATGTAATGAAAAATAGACCATTTTTCAAAGACTATAGCTGTTTTATGCTTCTTACACTTTCGGTTGTCAGGGATATTTTGAGGATTGTCTACACTAACTTCACTGATACAACACTGATATATCTTCTGGAACACTTTCATCTAAATAGATGTTTATATTACATAGACTCTTGAATTTCAGTGCAGACTATGATTTTTATTGCATGTAGGCAAGCAATTCAGTTTCTTGCCAAAATTTCACAATTGTTAAATGATGATAGTATAATGTGAGAAGTGAAATTTCATCTGAAGCAAAAAAAAAATATTGGCAACAAAACTCTCTCTCTCTCTGTATCTCTCTCTCTCTCTGTATCTCTCTCTCTCTCTGTATCTCTCTCTCTCTCTGTATCTCTGTATCTCTACATTCTCTTACCTCAAAGTTTGCAGTACCCCGGTTGTCTCCACACAACCTCAACTCTTTCCTGATTCCTTTTTGTACCTCTTAGTGTTACCAGCTTCAGAGTCCCAAAAACCTAAGGAATGTCCCAACAATCTTGTGCTTCCATGTTACCTTCCTGTCTCCAGGGGCTTTCTAAATTTTCTATTTCCTACCAGACCCCTCTCAAAGGTATAGGAGCTCAGCAGTGCAAAGGATAACAGTGCCTGATACCTATGTGTGTTTTGAGAAATTACTGGCTTCTCCAAAGCAGCTTTCTAGCTCAGGCTAATTCAAAAATACAAATGCAACCATGGACTTGTCACCAGCCCATCAAAACTGACGATTACAGTGCTCATGTTCCAGTCTTTTCCTCACTTGTTCACACATTTAGTTCTCTTGTGTATACCCAGTTGTGAAGAAAAGGGTTGCTAGGGTGTGAGTGCAAAGGACTAATTTCCTTGTCAAAAGATTAAGAAATTGCTGTACCTGACATAGGAATGCCTGACAGTGTGTTGCTCTTCTGATTATAGGTTGCTTTCACCTCACATAAGGGAAGTTCAGGAAACAAGAATTCCCAGAAGCAGCCTGGAGACACTGCAAAAGATGAGAGACGAGATGAAACACAGCTACAAGGTACAAGGCTGTTTGCTGTTGCTTTTAGCAGATGTAGCTGTTCTACTCTATGTGGTTAAGGGAGAGAAAAGAGGTGGTTCTGTTCCAGGTTGTTCAGAACAGCGATGATCCAGTTGGTAGACCCTACAAGAGAAAGTTATCTGTGCTTACTTAATAAACAGGATTCTTATGTTTTAGAAACAGGGAAAGAAACAAACTGCCAAACTGTTGCTGTTGGGACTATTTCTTGGTGGGGGCGGAATTTTGTTGAAATTGTTAAATATAGAAACCTTGCAATAAAGGTTGCAATAAATCTTTGGAAAATAATATATATTTAATATATAATAGCAATAAATGTTATTCATATAATCTTAAAAATCATAAAGGAAACAAATAGCAATCACAATAAGAACCAGTTGAAGCCCATTTAAATGTTCAAGACCAATCCACTTAATTATTAATTCCTCTTTATTATTGTTATTTAAATGAGATTATCTTAGATCTTAATCTTAGCAGTGGGGTAATGAGAAACCCGTTAGAACAAGAAAGTCAAACTAGAAGTAACTACTATAGGCTCTTTTATAATTTAATAAGTGAAAATTTAATGAAAGTGGCAAAACAGTGTATGTTTTTAAAACAAGTTTTAAAACAAGATATAAACAAGTATAAAAGATAACAAGTATAAAGATTTTATAATAATGGATTAATTTAATTCTACAAGCAAAACCTTGAGTTTGCTAAGGGCTTCCCTTACACCATATCCATATGAATACATAAGAGGCTTCCTAAAGCCAAGAGTCTTTTCTAGACATAGATGATTTCAGCAGGAGTATCACAGGAAAGATTTATCACTGTATGGATCATTTTTACCTAAGTACACAGAAGCACCTGTTAGATTTCAATTAAAGAGTTGTTACTTTCCCAAAGTTTAGAAAGCTAAAGTAATTGCTATCTTTGTTTTATCAGACTTCATGAAAAGATCACCTGCAAGCAGAGAGTTAGGAGCTGAGAAATACAGATTGGTCAATTTAATTAACTTCAATCCTCAGAAAAATTCCAGAACAATTAATCACACAAACTATTATTAGCACCTAGATGATAACCAGCAAATGAGAGCAATCAGCATGAACATGTCATATCAGATAACTTGGTTTTTTCCCCTTCAATAAAGAATAGGAATTAGGGAAAGTACAGAAGCACATGACCTCTTGTTACACGAATGTCAAAAAACTAATTAAACTGACATTTTCATTAAAAGTTAAAGAAATACAGTCTAGATAAATCTGAGGCCTATATACAGCTGGTTGGATATCCGGCACAATAGTTCACCCTCAAAAAAGAAAGACTATATTGTTGAATATTTTTTCAGCAGTGTAGCTGGTGGAATTGAGAATATGGTTATTAATCTTGCAGGTGAAACAAAGCTGAGGGTAAAGGAATAAAATTGTAAAATAATCTTTGCAATTCTGAAAAATGCTATTTAAGAAGGTAACAAGGAACATATGCAGTGAGAACAATTTGCACCATAGTTCAGCACTTCATACTAATATAAGCCAGCTGGCTGGTATTAACCATCCCTGCCTTTCCTCTTCTCCTGGCTACTTGTTTTCTGTCACATTGCCTTATGTTAGCATAAGCTTTTCTGTGGCTGTATGGTTGTCTGTATGAGCAAACTGATTTACGTTAAAATTATCATCTCAGTCAACTGTAATCTGGAGCATGTACCTCATCTATTTGATCCTAGTTTGGGTTTTTGTGATGGATGAGGTGACCTCGTTGCTGGGTTTCTTAACAGCTCTGTTTTTTCTGTGATTATCCCGTGATTGAAAAGAAGGGACATATTTGATATAAAATTGACATATCAGTCTGTTCTTGGGGTTTGCTCGTTTGTTTTTGGTTCAGATTTTGATCCACTGTAAATTCAAGAGATTTGTGATCTTGCTATAATGTGTGACTTAGGCACAATTCCTTAATTTGCTCTGTTTCAGTTTCTTCAGTTTCTTTGAAGCACTTTGAGATCTGTGGGAAAAAAAAATATTCTTGACAGAACATTAAGCTACTTTCCTGATTGTTAGCCATTTCATCTGTTTCATTCACTAAGTAATTTATGTTCTTTCTAAGATCCTCTGTAAACATATATATTGCATATGTCAATAGAAATGATTCTTTAGAAGAGATAAATTCCTGTGACTAGGATGTTTGCACAGGAGCCTGAGGCTTGTTCTTGTCTCTAACATGAGATTTATTTTTATTTCTGTGAATTCTTAAAATATCTAAGTAGTGAAATGTAATGTTAATCCAACAAGAAATGGGCCCTGTTTGTACCAGAAATTAACTGCCCTGGGCAGCTTTGCCTGGGATCTCTACCTGGGAGCACCAGTCCTCTTTCAAGCTATGTTGTGGGCAGCCTCAAACCTGTCTCTGGCTTGTCCTGCAGTTGTTGGCTGCACTTCCCTTACTAAACATGGACCTGACTTGTCACCTCTTGTTTGTCTGATGATCACTGGACTGTCAGCAGAACCTGTCACTGTCCCAACCCTGTTTACTTGCCTGACTTGGTGCAGCCCTGTTGGCAAGGTCACTGCCTCTGTCTGTGCATGGTCACCCTCAGCTCTATGGTTCTTTCCTATACCTGATATATTGCTTGCAAATTCCCATTACATTCCATTAAGTATGGAAGTAAAGAGAAACCTGGAGTCTGACACATGGTAGATAACAATATCAAAAGTTGAACTTCAAAGCAGAAGAACTGAATTACTAAAGGATATTTTTCTTAGTTCTTATTCAGCAGAGCATATAAGAACAGGCTTATTTTCAGCCTGTCCTTAAATCCTCCGAATTTAAGAACATAAATGAAGAGTTTTCCTCTGTCAACATCTAACTATATTTCTATACTTCAGAAATGTGATTTTTTTTAGACATCAGTATGTAGTTATTCCTATTTATTGGAAACTCCTAGTATTGTTACTCCTAGTTATTGGAAACTGCATCCTTCTTATCATGTATTTTTTTTGTAAAGCAAAACACCAAAATAAAATAATATTTCAAGCCTTGAAATAATGATGTTCTTGGAGAATAATAGAGACATAACTAAAGTTATAGCTGAAGACATCAGCAAATTTATATTAACAGTGGATCTGTAACTTCTCATGCAAGTTTATGCATAGCATAGTAAAATTCTAGTGATAAGTAGTTTATTAGATTATTTGAGCTAATGAAAACTAGATGATTTTAAATGCTGTGATGAATATTTAATCCTTATATGCAATCCATGATGTCTTAGACAAAATGCAAAAACAGATTATCACAGCTTTAGGAAAAAAGAAATTCATTAAATTGTGAGCACTAATGTTAAGATTTTTAGAAAGAACAATTGGAGAGGAACTACCATTTTAGTAATGGTTGGAGCCAGCCCCAAATGTCAAGACTCTGAGCATGTTCTTCCTTCCCAGTTTTGTTGTCTGAGTTGAGGAGTTTGCTAGCTGCTCCTTCCCTGACAAGAGCTGTTGTGAAGTAAGGACCTCCACCTTCTTCTTTTGTGAGCTGCTGATAAGGGGCAGCTTTATCCTGACCCTCAGCTGTGCTACACTGCAGCAGTTTACCAAAGTGCACAAAGTTAGGATGACTTCCCGTACCTCAAGTTGAGATCTACTATGTCCTGAAATTTTTGTCTAATCTTAAGAAAATTCTTCCCTTATTTTTCATGCCTTAAAAAGTAACCAAAACCTTGATCACTGGCAAAAGCAGTGGGGCTACAAACGTTGCTGTGCTAGCTATGGTAAATACTGTAGTTTACTCGTTCTTTTTTATTCAGTATGAACAAGGGAAATGGACTGGTCAGTTCTTGGTTTTCATTTTTAAGCACTTCTATTGTTCTTAAGTGCAAGGGACATGGGCAAGGACTATTGAATCAGGTCTTCAAATCTGTTTCACTTAGGAAAAAAAGCATCTAACCAAGAATATTTCCCTCTGTGCTAGTTTTGATAAATGTATTTATCTTCACAAAACAGTCTGAGCATAAAGTACTAATTCAGAAATAGATTTATTTTCTCTTTGATTTATTTTCATGTATAACTGTTGTAAATGCTCATATGCAGGATAACAGTTGATGGTTCTCTCTCAAGTTTTTTCCAAAACACCCCTATTTACTCTTCTTGGGCACCAGAACAAGATACCTCCCAGCAAATCAGTAGGATCATAGTATCTTTCTCTTGTGTGCTGATATCAGTAAATGAAATAATTAAGAGACAGTAGTTATATTATCATTAATTCACCAGATTAATATTTAACCCCCCTCATAAATGGATATGCTTATAGATACTACAATTTTTCGTGTTGAATTTTCTACAGTATCTAATATTACTGCATTGTTGAACATTTAGTTCACTTTTTGAAAATTGCCTTTGCAGTCAGAAGTGCCTACAGGGCAACCACATGGAGAAACTAAATCTAGTAAGCTGTACTCAGTACAAATTTGTTTCCGAATGCTACAAATCTAGTTTCATAGATGTTCTTCTGCCATTAGTTATTCAGCCTTTCTTTCACTTATTCAGTTGTTCACATATATTTTTTATGACTTTGAAGAAAGGCTTGTTGTAATGTAATTGCTGATTTCCTCTCAAGGTTTTTCTTCAGAGAAAGATGAAAGGCAGTTGTTTGTCATCTCTCTCTCCCTGTCAGCTAATTTAGGTAGAACACACGCTAGACAATACTGAAAAAAAAGATATCAGCTTGAAACTTCAAAATAGAAGCCTACAAAGCATATCACATTTTCATGTTTTTTAATCTGAAGGACTGAAAATTATTATAAAGTACTGACAGCAACTTGTTAGATGACAAAAGTGTGAACCACCTTTTTTTTTGAATCACACTGCTGTCATTTGTTTGCAGTATCTGACTTATTTTTTCCCTTACATAAAAAGCTGCAATATTAATGGATATAGAAACAGTTGGATGTAAAAGCAAGGAAAAAAAGAAATATCATTAGTGTGTGAGATTTGCTTTGAGAATTGGAAGATCAT